GAATCCTCGACATCGTGGTTCATCCGATGAGATCATCGTGGAACATTGTGAGCCAACATGGGTATCCAGATCCCGCTGTTGGTTATTGGCCGGAGAGTTGTCTCGGTCATGTCTGCATGGTTCCCGAACCCGTAGGGTCTACACACTTAAGGTTCGATGATGCTAGGGTTATTAGGAAGACTTGTATGTGATTACCGAATGTTGTTTGGAGTCCCGGATGAGATCCCGAATGTCACGAGGAGTTCCGGAATGGTCCGGAGGTAAAAATTTATATATGGAAAGTTGTTGTTCGGGTTCCGGGAAAAGTTTGGTTTTTTCCGGTATTGTACCGGGAAGCTTCCGGAAGGTTTCGGAGGATTCTGGAGGGGTCCGGAGGTCCGAAAAATGTTCCACCACGTCCAATACAGCAGCATGGGCTGTAGGGGGGCGCCCTAACCTTAATGGGCCAAGGGCACCAGCCCCCCCAAGGCTCATGCGCATGGGAGAGGGGAAACCCTAAGGGGAAGGGCCTCCACTTGACTTGGGAGGCACTCCTCCCCCCCTTGGCCGCCGCTCCCAACCCTAGATGGGATCTAGGGGGGCCGGCCCCCTCTCTCCCCACCTATAAATAGTGGAGGGGTGGGAGGGCGGCCACACCCTTGAACCTGGCGCAGCCCCTCCCCTCCAATACCTCTCCTCCTCCGCGTGAGCTTGGCGAAGCCCTGCCGGAGAACTGCCACTCCATCACCACCACGCCGTCGTGCTGCTGTTGGACTCTCTTCCTCAACCTCTCCTTCCTCCTTGCTGGATCAAGGCGTGGGAGACGTCTCCGTTCCGTACGTGTGTTGAACGCGGAGGTGCCGTCCGTTCGGCGCTAGGATCATCGGTGATTTGGATCACGACGAGTACGACTCCATCAACCCCGTTCACTTGAACGCTTCCGCTTAGCGATCTACAAGGGTATGTAGATGCACTCTCCTTCCCCTCGTTGCTATATTACTCCATAGATTGATCTTGGTGATGCGTAGAAAATTTTAAATTTCTGCTACGCTCACCAACACCACTAACCAAACTCATAATGCGGTGAACATAGGTGGAATCAAAACATTTTGCAACGACGACCTCATGGAAGGACCACTGGACACAACCTTACACCTTCTCAAAGTCACTTTGAGGACAATAGGTTCAATTCAACTAGACTGAAGCTCATGAATAATCTCATGAAGATAGAGGGATCCCATCCAGGAAAGAAAACCTTTGAAAAAAGTGGTTTGGGTACTACTAATAGAGCAGTGGGCTATTGAGAGAGCCTAATGGCAAAACAATTCACATGGAACTTAGAAAATTTTTAATAAGAGCTACAGGCCAAAACAGATGGATATTATCACCACCTTTGACCTTAGGTATAAGGAAAAGGTTGGCATAGTTCCAACGTTTCAGGATGGACATGGAGTTTCTGATTTCAATCTCATGTGCAACTCCATGAATAGTAAAATCGAGAAAATGTAAAAGGTTTTGAAAAATTCTGATTTTTTGTCAACAAATATTCTTGAATGTTCTACATATGTGCAAATTTTTATGAATAAAAAATCTTCCATGCTCTAGGAGAAAAAGAAATACAAAATCGATGCTTAGAAAGATTTTTTGTGGAAAACAAATTGAGAACCGATGTTCTTTCCTCGAGATCATTAGGAATGTTTTCCTTCATGAACTTGCAGAACATCCAACAAATTTTCTTTTGTAAAAAATCAGAATTTTAAATTATTTTACATTTATTATTATTATTTCATTGTTCTTGAGGGTGCATGTGAGCTCAGGTTTAGAAGAGCACTTTTGTTTTAGGATCTATGTTTTAGCTACTTGCACTCAAAGTTTTGATCTAATCAAGTGCTATGTGTTAGGAGTTTGCTATAGCACTATGTTAGGATGGTTTGTTATAGTTGTATGCATGCTATTTTCAATTGGCTATTAACTTAGAATGCCTATATATGTACGTTATTAAATTTAGAAAGTTAATATGTTGTTTATTTTATGTGAATAGGGAACAAATACATATCACTGTTGTTGTGACCCTTTGGCAAAACTCTTTTTCTGTAAGAGTGTCTGTGTAGTGCACCTAAAATGACATATTTGTGATGTCACTCTGTTTTAGGTGTTCTACACAAAAGGAAGGAAGTACTATATGAGCTCTCGGCCTCGAATGGAGATATTAAGAGTATTTTTCAAGTGGGTACAAGGACTCATTGGAATGTTAAATATGTAACGTTGGATTTGTAGACACTGCTATACTCCTCTCTCACCATCATTGAAGACATCAATACTATTTTCAAAAACCAAGTAAGGTACACATTTGGACATATGACATTGTGTGTATCAAATGTAATGCAATTTTGTTGGGTGTGCTTATATATTGTGTATGCGTCCACTACTTTGCATTGTAGAGCATCTCCGAGCTGCACTGCTAGCAGTGTATCCTCAAATTGCCTTACCAAAAAATTGCATCACTGGTCGGACTTTTGAAAAAAAAAAGCGCAAAGTAAAGAACTTTCTGCCCTACCCACATGAAAATCAACACTGACAGGCCTTCTGGTCTATGATGACAGATATCATAGATGAGCCAGCTGACCTATCTATGATGACTTCATCATCATTGTACCAGAGGCACTGACGGGGCACTGCCGAGTTAGTGATGAACTCATTACAACCAGTGCTATTTTGATCTGCAATAGTGGCTTTGTTTACTTAATACTTATATAGTGGATTATTAGCTATATATGCAGTTGGATAATAGAATATGGATAATCATGACATGTATAATCATAATTGTAAACATTGCATTTAATCGACACACAACTATAATTTATTCACTGCACCTATGCTATGTTTTCTGGAGAGATGCCACAAGTGAAGTTATGGATCCCAATCCTCTATTCCTCATATATACAACCTCAGCCAACCTATGTTATTGTTCTTTACAATCAGAATTGATTCGTTTATTTGCTTACAATCACCATTTTCTACCACACTAGTTAATCCTTGTTACTAAGAAGGCTAGTGAGGCTGACAATCTAACTGGTATAGTTGGGGACCAAGAAGAAATTTGTTGTTGTGTGCAGGAGCTGATCATCGGCTTTTGCTCAAGCACTCCTATGGGCCAATAAACCTTGGTTCTCAACTAAGTGACATACTTGCTTGCTTCCTACAAACCCTTCCTGTGGGGGCTCAAGCCAGTCAACACATTCATGTGGCCGAAATCAACGTCATCCCCATTGATTCACTGATCTTGGTGATGATGACTCTGACAATGTGCCTGAGAAGGTGCAGCTCGCGGCGGTCATGAAGGAGAAGGTGGAGGTAGGGGGAGAAGAGGAGGGGTCAAGGCAGAGGACGAGGATGGGCCGATGGCCAAGGAGCCGATGACAAGGCGGCGCCGACGACCACATCCACCTCCTCTTGTAGGAGGAGGCAGAGCGGGAGCATGATAGGGCATTGCTCGAGGAGGAGAACCATCAGGCGACTAATGCTCAGCTCGTGGAGGAGCATGCCAATGTCCCCACCAAGTTCGACGCTGACCCAAAGGTGATGGAGGTCGAGCTCTCTTTTGAGCGCTTCATTGCCACTGAGCGCGAGGTGGCTGTGAATAAGTGTGTCTTGGCCGACGTGGATCGACAATGGAACACATTCTCAGTGAGCTCGCTGTCGATAAATCATACGGCCTTGGCGATGCGCCAGTGCCATGGCGGGGGCCCTGACGCCGATGCATCGCGCTTCGGCAAGCCCTGCATGGTCTACCTCGACTCCGATAAGGATTAGTATGTTTTAGCTCTAAAGTGGTATCTACTTTATTATGATGTTTAGTTATAAAGTATTATGTATAATTAGTCTTATGTGGTCTTAATCTAGTCTCACTTTGAGTTTTGTATGAGTTGTTTGTCCACAATTTGTTTTTGAGGAGTTAAGTTTGAGGGGTCCATTAGCTCCACATATTTGTTAACTACTCATATATGAGTTGTTTGGGTTAATGTCTTGTTGCATGTTTTCATCGCATATAGGGATGCATACTAGTACATGATACTTCATGTTTGTTAAGTGTTCATGATGAAGTTTTGATGTGCGCTACGCATAAAATAATAAAATTATAGACTTCTAGTATGAAAACTTTTAAAACATGAAGTATACATCCCAATGATGTTTGTCTTACTTTTCAGAATTTTTGAAACCTAAAAGGTTGATTTTCGAAAATTTCAGACTACATAGAGAAAATATATTAAAAAAATTCAGCCCGTTCGTATGTTTTTTTGTTACATTTTTTCAAGTACTATGTGATGCTGAGGTGATGAACCAACTTTAGTCCAAAGCCTGGTTATGCTTTAGAAAGAATTGAGATAAGATCTAATTAATACGAAACCTTTCACTATTCATGATCAAGGCGAAAGGAACAAGATAATTGAAGTTTTGAGAATAATGAGGTTCTTACAACTTAAGGTGATTCGCCAAGAGCAAGTTCGATTTTTAGCCATACTTTTTATACAGGCAGGCAAATTTAACAAACGCGTGACTGCAGACACATTTCGTGTAGTCGATTTAGCAAACTCTGCAAACTACTTGGCAGCCACCACGTTAAAAAAAAGGCAGCCATGAAAGTTGTGAGTTGCCGCCGAATGATGGTAAAAGAGCAGTACGTCGGATAGTTGTTTGCTGTGCCGAAAGTAGAAAGGTAAATTTCAAAGAGCATTCCATCAGCTCGTATGAGACGTGATATCGGAGAGTATAAATGCAATATTGAGTAGGCACACACAATCATCACATGTGTTTATTCACGGAGGATAGGTGAACACAAGTACAAGCACCACCACCTTTCTCGAGAGAGGAAACACATTGACAAGACACGACGATAGCAGTATACATATTGTTGGCCGTATAGCACGACCCACAGAGAAGCATAGGCGCCATGACTGCTCATCTCATCTGAGCTTTATTTTAGGCGGCACCCCTCGTCTGAGACTGAAGCCCTGAACGGATCAGTGCTTTTTGCATGGCCCGCCGCAGGTGCCATCGACGGTGCTCTTCATGTCGGCGCACCGGAACGTCTTGTGAGGGCTGGGCGTCACCACGCGGCAGGCCGAGCAGCCCTTGGGGCACTGGGGGTGGGCGTCGTCGCAGACGTCGACCCCGGAGAAGGACCTGCAGTTGTTGCAGCACTTGGGGAAGAAGTCGGCTGCATGCACGCAAGACACCGACGGCATCAGAACCAGATAATATGTCACTGATAAGACGAGACGAGAGACCTCCCCTCCCTCTGGGGCATCACGAAATGATCGAGCTTTGCTTAGGAAGAGGTGAAGTGATTGAGCATCAGCAGCTTACCGTTCACGTGTGAGAGGATCCCCATGACCAGGACGGCCTGGAGGATCAGGATCGCCGCGAGCTTGGTGCTCTTCATGCTTGCTGATGAACCCTTTAGCGCAAAGCTCTCACTTCACCTGTGCGGTCGGTCTAGTGGTAGAATGCTCTGTGGTAGTGGTGTGGCTGGCTAAAGCTGCGAGCAGCTCTATATATAGGCGTCGATTTCGTAAGTTGATTGGCAAGCGGCCTCGGCTGCGATGCTGCGATCGCCACGTGCATTATTTGGTTAGTTGGGGGCATAAAGATGTTTGGCTAGTAGCAGCTAGCTTGGAAACTTGGACTCGTTTTCCCAGGTTTTTTTTATAGGCGGCGTGGACATGGACACCACTCATGTCCAGCAAACCAGATCACGTGCACACTGATTTAGGCCGACATCAGATATTGTTTTCATACTAGTACTACCCGGGAGTATAAAGCTAGTTACTGAAGAATAACATAGACTAATAACATGCATATAAAAAATGCTGGGTATAGTAGACGAGCTCGCTTGCTCCTGCTAGATGGACTAATGGAAAAATCATAATGTTGGAGCAAGCATTGAGACCTCCTTTGGTTCATTGGGTAGGAAAATTATAAGAATAGAAAAGTTATAGGAAATGAGATGACATGCATCTCAAATCCTATGAGTAGGAATAGGAAAGGAGATGTCTTTTGTTTCACATCATAGGATTTTTTTCATTGAGTCTAGGCTAGTGCTTATTTTTCTATGAAATGTGGAGGATAGAAAGATTTGCTCCATAGGAATAGGATTTCATTCGTACAAACCAAAGAGCTTTATAGAAATTTTTCCTATAAAAATCCTACCCTATGAAATTTCTATAAAATTCCTTCAAACCAAAAAAGGTCTCAATGCTTGTATGATGAAACAACGACGTGGATGGGTGCAGTAACCGAGAGCTAATGATGTCCGTCGAAGCACACTTTCTTTCTTTCTTGAGTTGGGATGCAACACTTCGTGTGTAAAATAGGTTAGTTTGGAGCGAACGCACTTCCTCTAAAACCGAAAAAAGTTTTTCTGAAAGGGAAAACTGAAAAAAGTTAGCAACACACTTCCCAAAAAAGCTAGTGGAGGGAACGCTCTATTTTTATTTTTGCTTTTCAATATTATTTACATCTTATTTTTTATTTTTCTATTCTTTTGGGTAAATTGCATGCGCTAAAAAATATAAATAGTGGAGTACGTTAAAGAGAGGATATAAAAATGTTCATGTGTATTTGAAAAAATATTTTTATATGTGTGTAAAAATATTCTGCCGTGCAGCATATCCTGAGGAGAACGTGTGCCTAGAGATTCCGTGAGCGGGCGAGCTTGTGCGCTCCTATGACTATCCGGATATAAATATATTTGAACTACATGTATAAACAAATTGCCTCTCTAGCACAATGACAAATAGTCGTCTTGCCAAAAGATCTCATCAGCTCTCGACATTCATAACGTATGATGGCTTTCGATACTCTGTACACATTCAGATTCAAGCCACTAGGGATGAAAACGAAGCGGAAACAGATGAAATTGAGTGCTATCAAATTTGTTTTTATATTTTTTTATAGCGGTGGAAACGAATACAGAAACCTCATAAATGAATACGGAAACGAATACTACCGAAAACGGACACGGAGCGAATACAAAGCGGACACCAAAACAAAAGTGGGCGTTGACCGGAACTTAAAACCCCCTTGAATCATAAAGAAATACACACAAAGATGAACAAATTTAATGAACTATTAACATGACTACAAAATAATATCATTATGTTAGCAACTTAGCGTAGTATTGTAGTGGTACTGGACAATTGCATATAGCCATATAGGGTCAAGCTGAGTACATGTGTGGTAGTAGAAGTTGGTCTTAAATGATTAATTTTACTCATTGTGTCATCCTGTGTTGTTTTGTGGTTGGGCTACAAAGTAACGATAGGTCTATAGTCAAAAAAGAAATTTCATATTCACCGAAATGGAAAGTTTAGTTTTCACGCATGTTCCACCGAAAAACACCATTCCGTTTTTGTTTCTGTTTCTGCATAAAAAAATCCATTACCACTTTCAGTTTGCAAATTTCCGTTTCTGTTTCCATATTTCCTCTCCGTTTTCATTTTTCCTATGGAAAAGCAGAAAGTCTCCACTCCATTTTCATCCCTACAAGCAACGACCGAACAATCTTATATCTTGTGCTACCAAACATTAGTTGCTCTCATGCTACCACTTAAAAAAAACAGTTTCCATCTTTAAAAAAGTTAAAACAATTGTGTGTATTTACAATGTGTAGGAATTTCAAGTTAAAATATGAAATACACATGTAGAAACAAAAACGGCAAATCCGAATGTGAACAGTGTCATTTTACCTTTTGTCTTTTAGTGATACTATCATGATGAATTTGTCTTTTTTGTTTTTCAATGTCCATTTCAAAAAAAATATTTGAATTTTTTACAGATTGTAGACACATGTCTTGTGAACACTCATAATTATTTTTAGGATTTTTTGAAACATGTAAATATTAAAAAAAATGATAGCATGGGAGCGCCTAATGTGTGATAGAACCTCATATTCTCGGCATCTTGAGATAGCTGTTTGCTTGAGAACCTGATATTCTCGGCATCTTAAAAGATTGTCCCCAAAATACTTTTGCTTAAAAGAAGCTAGCAACACACTTCCTCTGAAAAAGGACAAGGCTGGGAACGCACTATGTAAAAAGTGCGAGCGAAGCGAATGCTCCGTTACTACTTTTCATTTGTGTTTCTGTTTACTTTACATTTTTCGGTTTTCTTTAATCGTTTTGTATTAAAAATGTTCATGCACGTCAAAAAATGGTTATGGATATACAAAAAATTATGTCTATTAAAACTTTTCTCGTATATGAAAAGTTTGTCCTTTTTGTTTAAAAACGTGCATCGTGCTTTCAAAAAATTTAATCGCTCAAATAAAAATATCGAGCATAGAAATTATTCATGGTGTATTTAAAAAGTATTCATCTTGTAATAAAAAACATCATTATGTGCTAACACTTCTTATACTTACATGAACATTTTTTTAAAGCATCAACATTTTTTTAAAGTGTTCATCACACATTAGACAACTTTCATCGTGTGTTTCATTGTCTAATTTCAAAAATGTTTACCGTTCATTGAAAAGTGCTCATCATAATGGCAAAAATGTTCATCTTGTACTCACAAGTCACAATGTCCATCATGCACTTTTTTAAACACCGTGTGTTCATTGATCGTGCATTTCAACAAAAAATGTTGATTGTGTATTAAAAATGTTCGTCACATATACTAAAAATTGATGGCCGTGTCACAAAAAGTGCTCATGTATGTATTTTTCACATGGAACCTGTTTATTTGGATTAAGGCGCCGACTTTTAGTGCTTGTAGTCTAGTCGTCGCTAGTTGATCTAGTCGTTTAGTCGTCGCTAGATGGTCTACGGATCTAGATATAATTCTTATTATTTCTGGTGTTAGTTGTACTGGCATGATTCAAGATGAATACATCGGAAGTTTTCTCGGAAGAAAAAAAAACTGGACGCACTCCTTGCAGCCGGCGTCGCACTTGCTCAATCTTTCCAGTAGCGAGGACCGCCAGGAGAACTAGGATCATCAGCAGCGTGCTAATCTTTATCATTTGGCACTAAGCGTTTTAAGCAAAAGCGCTCCCATTTTCATATCTACACCTGTGGAATGCTTTGCTTGCCGTCCGCAGCTGCAAAACAACACTACATGTAGGAGGGTATACGCAAACATGCTAATGTTTGCCATGCCATCGACCAGTTACAGTTTTTGGTAGGTGGGGATATCGTGGTTGGAGATAAATGTGAGCAAGTGTGAAGGCCCACCAAACATTTGTCCATAGCAATGTCTTCGGTCCTGCTATATGGACTTGTCCGGGGGAGCTAATGCTGCCATGGCGGGTACTCCCAGGCATGAATGGCCCTCCTCTTCACGTGCTCGTGCCGACGGGACAGCGAGGGATGGATCTGCGTCACCGAGTCGCTGCACCATCCTCAATCTTTAGGAAACAGACCTGTGAGAGAGGGATAGACCGATGAACAGTGTCACGTTTTTATTCAAGCATGCTGCATGACCGACACTGAGCTCGTAGCTCAGTGTTTACATGCCCTGGTAAACGGTGATATTGCTCAAGTCATAACCAAAGAGAGATCTACCTTAGTAGTACTAGTATATTTGTATCTCCATGTTAGCTAACTAGCGACCGACAAGCTAGACGAAATCACGAGATGCGTATCCTGGTATGTAACGTGCGTGATGCATGATGCATGCATATTCGCGAGATGATTGGCTGGCTAACCATTCAATAATGGAGTCCTAGCATGTGCATGCTCCATACCCGCCAAGATGAGATCGGTACCCCAGTCCATCAGGGTTCTAAGTCTTGATGCTCACATTTATTTCTGAATTTATTTCAGTATTTTCGGCGATGCGCATTCAATGGGAGGAGACGTTTTCATTGATGACGAGGTGCCTACGATGACTCGTAAATTTCAAGATGATATGTCGGCTCAGTCTTTCGAAGGTGCTTATAAAGATAGGGTGTGCGGGTGTGTTCATAAGAATGAGTGTATGCACGTGTATATGAGCGCCTGCGTCTGTATCGTATTCAAAAAAAAAAGAGATGAGATCGGTACCATGCATGCATGCTTAAACATCATGGCCCTGACTTGCGTAAATAATGAATTATCCCGACTCGCACCGAGTGTGACGGCCGTACGTACGCTTGAGCACCGAGAAGGATCGGTTCACCGTTTGAACTGGGCGGTACAACAAATATATTGACACAAATAAACTGATTTTTATTTGATTGAGCAGAGACGCATACACTGATACTGTGATACATATTTATGTGATTTATTCACGGAGCAGCGACAACAGCTTTTTCTGGAGAGAGAGAGAAAAGCATAACGACGACGATGATAACAACAATTGTTGTTGGGCGTGGAACACGTGCACGTACAGCCATAACGGCTCTGCTCAACTCATCCCAGCTTTTATTTTCGGCGCAACATCTGATGTTCTGAGCATGAGCGATCAGTACTTCTTGCAGGGCTTGCAGGGCGTGCCATCGTCGACGCGTGCATCGGCGCATCGGAACGTCTTCTTAGGGCTCGTCTGCACGACGCGGCAGTTCACGCAGCCGTCGCGGCACTTGGGGCCGGCGTCGTCGCAGACCACGGCCCCCGAGAAGAACCTGCAGCTGTCGCAGCACTTTGGGAACTCGGCTGCATGGAATCATATCAGTTAATCGCCTTGTTAACTGGATTGACATCAGTTAACTATCACTTGTGTGTGTGTAAGCTAAATATCTCAACGAAATCACAATACGGCAACCAGCAACCATACCGTTGGCCTGTGAGAGGATCCCCATGACCAGGACGGCCTGGAGAACCAGGATGACCACGAGTGTGCTACTCTTCATCGTTGCTCCTAAACTTCTCTACAGGGAAGCTCTGCACTGTCCCGTCTGCTCGTGGAATGATGGTTTATGTTGTGGTTGTGCCTGGCCAAAGCTACAAGCAACTCTATATATAGATGTCAGTTCTTGAAGCATGCCAACTTGCCGCGTCAGCTATGAATTGTTTTTTGTTATCGTGGTTTGGGATAAACTTGTTTGACTCCTTCCTAGCTTGGACTCGTTTCCTTTTTCTTTAAAGGCGGCTTAGACGTGTTAGGCACATCTCCATCTTCCATGTCCAGCGCATCAGCACACTTATTTCCTCATGATCAGTCGGTTATGTATGAAAAGAACACGTTTCTATTCGCGCCGGAGCGGTGGATCGATTGAATCGTCAAATGTTCTATGTGCACGTCACTTCAGTGTACCTAGCCAAGCCCTCCATTTCGAAATACAAGATGTGTTTAACTTTTCAGTCTCCAATACACGTCTTTGACTACAAATTTTACTCATAGAATAATTTAAATTTTAGTACAAATATATGACACAAGGATATTTTGCAAGTTTGTTAATGTTTGATGACGTAGGCCTCCACTTTGATGCCAATCTGGTCATGGAGATATTTTCACATCATTCGCTGATATGTCACCCCCGCATTCTTGAGTTCAAAGGCATGGTGATCTAGCAAAAGGCCCGAAAGGTGTGATGAAGGAAGTCTTCTCTTGGTCTGACTCTTTTATGCGTAGTTGATGGTAGCCAGAATAAGCATCCAAAAAACACATGCGTTCGCAGCCCATGGTTGAATCTATAACTTGGCCAATGCGAGGAGGAGGGAATAAGTCCTTTGTGCATACTTTGTTGAAGTCACTTTAGTCAACACACATGCGGCAGGACATGTTCTTTTTCCGCACCATGACGGGTTTGGCCAGCCACTCCGGGTGCGCGACTTCCCCGATGAACCTGGCGGCAGGAGTCGGGCAGTCTCCCCACCAATGGCCCGTCGTTTCTCTGTGGCGAAACGACAGAGGGCTTGTTTGACTGGCCTGGCGTCCTTTCGAACGTCGAGGTTGTATTGTGCAATCTTTACGGAAACCTCGTGCATGTTTGCGGGCCTCCAGGCGAAGATGTCTAAGTTGCTTCAGAGGAATTACAGAAGCGTGACCTCCTATTCTTCTGTAGGTCTATTCCAATGATTATCGTTTTTCCCGGGTCTTCTCGGTGGACTTGGAATTTTTTTGGTTTCTTTCGCTAGATGAAAGCTAACCCCGGCTAGGGCTTGGCTGGTAATATTATTGAAGATGGGTCGACGGACTTCTTGATGTGCTCAAGCTCCGTGGAAGCCAGTGTTGCCTCGACGAGCTCTACATTCGTGGCTTTTTCTTCAAGAGCCTTCTCGGGGCTGCCGTGGATTGTTATTGTGCCACTCAGACTTGGCATCTTGAGCTGGAGGTATGCATAGGAGCGTAGCGCCATAAATCTACCGTAGGGCGGCCTGCCTAGGATGGCGATGTAGCCAGTTTGAAATGGCGTGACCTCGAATCGTATTTTTTTGACCGAAAGTCATCCTCGTCCCCGAAGACGACCTCTAGGTCGAGCTGTCCCAAGGGGTGCACCTGCCTGCCAGATGCAAAACTGAAAGTTGGTGGGCAAGGGCTGCAGGCGAGATCGGGAGATCGCCATCTTGGCCAAGGTGTCAGGGAAGTTGATGTTCACGCCACTACTGTCGTTCATCGGGACTTGAGGGAGGCGGAAACCCCGGACGATGGGATCTACAACTAGGGCGAACTTGCCCGGATACGAAATATATTCCGGATGATCGATCGGCCGAAGGTTACCATGGAATCGGATCACTCCATGCGCTTTGTTGGGGTCGGCGCGACTGCGTAAACCGCATGTTAGGTAATCTTCTGGGCCCGGCATGTGTCCGAGGCCTAGAAGATCATGTTGATGCCTTGTATCGGGCAGGCTGATGGTTTGCTGAAGGCCCAACCGCCTACCTTTGGTCATGGCCAGCTGTGCCCCATGCGCCAAGGGTGATGGAGGAGTGCAGAGGCATACGAAATCGCCTTATCGATTGAAGTGGAATTCTAGGCTTCCAAAGTGCATGACACCGATGGGAACGTTGTAAGTGTAGACCGCATTGATCGTCGATGAGCCTGAAAGAGCTGAAAGTGATGGTTTGGCCCGACATGTAGTCATTTGGCATGAACAAAGATCTGATCTGGATATGTTCCCCTACCAGCGTAGCCACTGCTTGGCATGCCATCGGACAGTACGTATAACCGCCAGTACCCTCGATAGGGTGGCGAACACGGCTAGAACTGCCAAAATGGAGGTTACACGAGTTAGTTACACGTGTTCAGTCCCCCCTTGGAGGACACCCTATGTCCTGCTTCTAGTTTGTACTCATGGTGGAGTACCTCGTGCGAGGGTCACAATGGGGGATGATTTACTGCTATCGAGAGTAACATTTCTACGAGAGTTGGTCCCTCTGGCTAATCCATAGCCCTGCCTTATATAGCACCCGAGTTTAGGATTTACACATGAATCTGACCAACCTCCAGCTGCCGCCTTGCTTGGCTTGCACTCGAAGATGATCATCGAGCTCAGGGGAAGGCGTGAAACAGCTCAGGGAAGAGGAGGAAGAACGATCGCCGCCGCCAACCACCGCGGACCGGAGAAGATGCGTTTGTAACTGCTCATTTGTGAAGAATCCACCCGAGATAGAGAGCTTAAAGGGGATGAAATGGTGGTGGGGTTCCCGCGGTGAGCGAGCGGGGACTAAATAGGGCGACTGAATCGACGGGAGGTGATCCAATTCCTCATGCCGTTATATTGGGATGCCCGCAAGGTCACATGAGCTCACCATCGCGTTTCCCTCCCGTGAATGCCGATAGCCTGGTTGAGAGGAAACGTCTGATTCATCCGTTCCTAGGGGCCTAGCTAAGAGGTGTTTTAAGTTCCGTTCAGGCCAAAAGCCGAATGCAGACTAAGCATCCAAACATGCCAAAGTAGCATCTAGGGCGAAGCAATATGCAACCAACCAAAGAGGCCCTGGGTGCTCGAGTTCCCTAAATTTTTCCTGTGGCGTCGCCTAGGGAGTGCAGGCACTCGTGCCAAATGCCTCAAAAGTTGATTTGGCACCTGTTTGGCCATACTTTCTGAAATGCTGTTGTTATGTCAATCGGATCCATCATGGCATCTGGTTCGATCTAGCCTCTCATCGGTGAGGACGAACCATTTGATGCGTCGAGCCTACCATGGCTACAATTGCACGCCATGAACTCCATAGGCTTGTATGCTTGTTTTTTTAACAATGTGTACATCTTTTGTTGCTTACTTTTTGAAATACGATTGTGCACATCTTTTCGACGAATACATAAAAACCAACTAATCCCATTTTCTATTGGAATGATTATTCAAACTAGGTACAGAGAAGAAACGTATTTACACCCGCATAATTGTGAATACCGTTATTTCATTTTGCAAAAAGAACACAAGTGATAGTTACTGATTTCTTCATTCTATTTCAATTGTTTATCTCTTGTGAAAGATTGCAAGAGATGTTACCAGTAAGAATAGGCAAGTGGTTATTATTATTATTATTATTATTATTATTATTATTATTATTATTATTATTATTATTATTATTATTATTATTATTATTATTATTGAGAGCAGCGATTCGGCGCCCAGGCTCATCTGCACCTGCAACGATGGAAAAATATTCAAAACAAATACTAGAGAAATTCAAAAAGAATCAATATTTTTGCATGATAGATAATTTCGTGTGTGAGGTGCGCTTCAAACTCCAGATCATTTGGACATCTCGAGAAAAAAGACAAATTTGGGGTCTATAAAAAAGTTTACTATTCATATGTTGTTCTGACCCAATTTGTCTTTTTTTGCCGAGAGCTACTCATATGTCCAAATGAACTGGAATTTGGAGTGCACCTCACGCACCAAATTATCTACCATGCAAAAAAATGATTTTTTTTGTATTTTTTGTGAATTATTTCTTGACCGGGTGCAGATGAGTCTGGGCTCAGAAATGGATATTCGTCATTATTATTGTTGTTGCTGTTATCATCATCATCATCATCATCATCATCATCATTATTATTATTAGGAAAGGCAAGTGGTTATTATGTACTCTAGCTAGTGCCTATAAATGTGTAAAGACACGAAATAAGAAAAATAATAAAGTTGACTCAAACACCAGGGTCATAAGGCCGCTCGCTTCCTTTGCAAGGAAGCCTAACGGCAAGAGTTGACATTGGTGCTATTGAAGGCATCGTTGCAACCCACCTGGAATAAGTCTTTTGCATGACATATATTATCATAGGTTACGAATAATTCCTAATTGCATGATCTCATTGTACAACAATATAACATTCCTATTAGTCCGCTTTTACGAATTCTTTTGTCATTTTTCAAAACTATATCTTATGTTGAACCACCTTTCTCGAAGCATGATTATGCTTTAGGAAAAAACTGAGATGAAATATGGAACCTTTTACCATTTGCATTCAAGTCAAACCGAGCAAACATAGATGTTTCGAGATAACATTACAAGAATTTCTTTTAACAGCAAGTTTGGTTTGTAGCCGTACTTCCTATACAGGTACACAAAATTGTCAAACGTGTGATTGCAGACACATTTCTTAGCCCGTTTAGCAAACATCAGCAAATATTAGTCAGGATGAAAGGTGTGGCATGCCCATAGTAAGATGGTAAGAGTACGTAGAATAGTTATTGTATGTGCGAAAAACTAGAAAGGTAAATTTCAAATAGCCGCCCATCAGCTCGTGTGAGTATGTGTTAATTAAGCTAGTACTAGTATATGTTTGATAAATAGATTGAAGTTTTTTCTAAAAAATAAAATAAAATAAGCTAAGCATCTTTTTTAGGGGAAAATAAGCAAAGCATCTAACATACTGCTTAACATGTGAACAATGGATATCATATCGGAGAGGATATAAATACAACGGGAAACATGTAACGCGTGGACAAGAGAACTCACA